ATAATTACAAACTTACATGTTTTTTTGATAGTGACACTAGTCCAAAACCATTAGATTTTAAATTAAAGATTATATAATGTTTTCTAATCGAAAACTAAAAAATTTTGAGCACTCTTTTACAAAACTTTATATTCAATGAGTGTGTCAGTACTTACCTTGATCTTCACCCTTGCCTTCCATCTCTTTCATGCTGTGAAGGTTTTTTTGCTCATGGTTTTTCCTTTCTTTAAAAACAAACTTGAGAATTTTAGTGTAATAATGCTCATACTATATCGATGAAATGCATTATTATCTAGGAGTTGAAATACTTAAAAAACAAAAACAATTTTTAAAACTGAGAGAGGTTGTAATTTGAGCGAGATAGAAAGATTAAGTTATAGAAGATTCGAGGACAAAGAAGGGAAGTTGATTCTTGAGTAGAATCAAATCATGAAACAAATCAGGGGGCAGTCAAAGCTTTATCTCAAGATAGCTATCATGTCTGTCTTTAGTATCGTAATATACTTAAACAATGCGAGCAATGACGAATATAACATCGACTAGAACGATCTTGGTCAACCCATTATTTATTCTGTTAATGGCTTTTGCATAGCAATCGTTGACTCTATATTCTCTATGTTTTACATCATCGACAAATTCTCGAGTGGTGATTTTGGTTCATTGACGGACTTTCTCCACACATCTCAACTTAAAATTTTCCATGAGTTGAAGCTCTTTCTTCTCACCATAGTGAAAATTGCCAACGGACACCACCATAGAAGTGTAGGCTTCTTCATTCAAAGTGCAAAAATTGTTAGGGACTAAATATGGAACAATCATTGCGATGTGGGTGGCTCCAGATTTTTTTATCATTTCTTTAATGTCCTTGATAAGAACCTCGCAGGAATCTCCTTCACAATTCGACGAAGCACCCTGCATTGATCTACTTAAACTTGTATCATAAGATATATAAACCAAATGTGAGATCAATAGATGAAATACCGTATCAAACGAAATATAGGTAGGAGGAAATAACTTATCCACATAGCAAGATCCAATATTTAACTTCTGTTCTTGTGCGAACGATGAAGTGAAACCCTCTTTGTAGAGATCTTCGTCTTTCATATCAAGATGGAAAGGAAACAGATCATCCATATGCTATGGAGTCAAGAATTTCAACCATGGCGATTTCACCTGCAATAAACCATCGTTTTAATGAATCTATGAGTTATATTTTCCTTTAAATATTACTAAAATTTAATACGGATAACAAGAATTTGTCATTGTAGTCCCTCAATCTAACATTCATATTCCCTCAAAGGAAGTATCAACTAAAAGTTCACAAAGCAGAATTTTCCATCTTTAATATATTAAGTAGCTACATAATGTACGAAATACTAAATCAATGGAAATAGATGACACTACAAATCTGATCACTTTTTCACAATTACTTATTTTTCCTATTGGTTTTGAGTCAATCTTGATACCCTGTTCTAGAATTGATAAGAGTGGTAAGAGCTACAAAATGCTTGGTAAGAAAATTCATGAGTCCCTACATACTGAACTGAATGAAAATACATATAACTTCCCCTACACTATATAACATTAGTGTGTTATAGTCCCTTATGGTTCGATATTTATAGATTCCAATCACAAATCCATTTCTATATACTGACAGTTAAACTTTTACAATTCATCGCATGATGCCGTTTTAACTTCTATCTCAATGGATAAGAAATTCACAATAGTCACATACAAATCATGCAAAAATGGATGCCACATAATCCAGAAAGAAAATAATTATCCACGAGATAAGTTCCACTGTCAGATCGACCGGATATTTCAGACATTCACACACCTTCTCCTCCTTGATATAAGGTCAAACGGTTTATAATTGTTACAACAATTTATTATCTTTTCTGCTTTGTTCCTGATGCATTCTTAACTTGGTTCAGAAAATTTATTAGAAGAATTATATTGCTACTGTATATTTTCTTCCGTTGTGAATTATTTTCTTTCATCTTATTTGCAGTAAACATTTTTCTTTCTTACAATTAAAAACCTTATTAACATTGAGAAGGCGGGATTAGCATAGAAGAAGACTACCTGCCGTCGCGGCGGTGTTCGCGACGTACGAAAGGAGGCTCGGTCTACCTTCTGCTTTCACTTTTCTCTCCGTAATTCGAATTAGGGTTTTTTTCTTTCGAAGCCCGAAGGGAGGTTCGGTCTACATTGATTTGCATTAAAATGCGGTAGGCGGGACTCACATAGAAGAAGACTACCTCCCGTCGCGGCGGCTCTATCTATCTTCCGCTTCTGCTTCCTCTTCTCTCTCTCTGTAATTCGAAGTAGGGTGCTTTTTTTTTTCGAAGCCCCTCCCCAATATATAGCGGCCATGATGCAATTCTAGCCGTCGATTTGAGGAGGGTAAATCTAGCCGTTGATCTTTCGTTTTATCCCCCCCCCCCCAACATCCGATCTCCTATGTCACGTCCACGTGGCGAAATCTCGCCCGTCCGTAAAGTGCCAGCATCGTCTGACATCTTTTCCATTGCGTGTGCCTTCCTGATTGGTCAGGAGCCAGAGACTTTTCCAATTTTGCAGTTTTGCCCCCCAACCGCACGGTTTCCTTCCAGATTCACCCTTGGCGACTATTTTAATTTTATTCTTATTTTAAATTAATTTCCTATTTATTTTAAGCTTATTTATTTACACGACTGCCTTAAATAAGAATTTCTAAATAATTAAATAACGTTAAGTAATTAATTATTATATAAAATTACTGAAAAACTTTCAAGAAATTATTACAAAAGCACCCATTAAAAATACAGGGTTAAAATCATCCAAACAACTCGTAAGTAACACCACTATATATAAACGCGTAGTGCCTTTCTGAACCCACCGAACAGAGACAGACGGACGGACAGAGCCAAACACGGCAAAAACGCCATGAACAATTTGGGTATATAGCAAGTTCTTGAAAAACTGAAGTTCGTATACATACACATCTCCAGAAACTACAGCAGCCGCGTACGAGCCACCTGTGAAACTAAACATACAGTGATATGCAATCACCTGTTAACCCATTACACCAAAACAAATGGGGCCAAAACTTCCAACACAAATGCCCAGCACCGTTCTGTACATGATATCTATAGAAAAACAGCTTAGGGCAACTATTACACCATACATGCCTGCGTCATGAATATTTTTCATCCTCCTTGTTTGTTTGTATATATATATATATATGACGCCATATGGTCCTATTACCAAAGTCGACCCTGTCGCAGATATTTTCAATTTTTCATTATTCGAGCTCTATACTTCACCTGGGATATTACCTTGCAGGAGTCGTTACTAAGCTCTGGAGGAGACAAATGAAGATGAGGTATGCGAAAAGGAAGTCTTCGATATATGTACCTACATAATCTCTGTCCGGCCTTCAATCAAGCAATTAGTTGGTTCCATGTCAACCTCGTATGATGATAATAGCCTTCTCTGCAGCACCAGAGAATGAAGCATAGATAAGGGTGGGCGCAAGTGGAATCTATAGATGTCTAGATGAAATAATAACGATCTTCACGACATGATAATGATAGAACCACCGCAGCTGATTTTCCTAATTCTAGTGATATTGATATCACAATGAATCGATTGAGAGAAAATTGACTTCATCATGATTAAAGGAAATTAACTAAAAATTCAAAAAAGAACTTGAATTTAGTCGAAGGAGCACTCACATGATCCTCAAAATCAGGGCTGGTCAAATTAATGGAGAGATTTCGCATCAACAATAGCACCTAAAAATGTAAGGAAAGGTTAGTAATCGCATGATAATATGATAAAAAATACACAACATTACATATGATTCAACCAATTCACAAGACTTTGATATAGAACATACTGTTTCAACATCTATTGGATCCATCTTCTTAAGTTTCTGCAAGTGACCAGTAGTATTTGGATCAAAGACACTGCCAATGAAGCTGTAAACTTGAGCAAAGTCTGGCAGCACTGCAACAAAAAAAAAGGCAGTTATTAACCATCAATAACAAGTTAGTGGAACAAATAAACCACAAATGATTAAAAAAAAAAATAAGCGTTGACAAAAATTTGGGGATCTCGCCTCTTAATGGATGACCATGATTCCCTTGCTCAGTCATTTCACCAGTCAATCGTGGTCTCCTAGTACTCTCCGTACTACTGCAAGAGTTATTTGCAATTCGTGTCCCTGCAAAGCAAATGTCAAATGACTAATGCTAGAAATCAGGTCATGGTCATCATTACCAATCTGATATCAGTGATGGTTAGGAACCTTTTGGCAGGGGTGACAAGCTGACAGTTTGCACATTGTTTGTCCAGGAAGACGCAGCAGGACTGGTAGCAGGATCCATCAACATTGTTGAGGAATCCGGCCTGAGAATGAATCCAGGTTCAAGAGCAGATGATTGAAAGGCACCTGAAACTTGTGTCTGCACTGTAGCTGTGATATCCAATACGTCAATACAATATTATTGTTTTTGCAGTGTAACAACTGCAACTACTTTAGAAAAAAAAAAAAAAACAAAGAAAAATAAACATGCTCACCATTTTTGGAAGCCTTCTGAGGATAAGGATGAGCAGCTTTCCTTTTAGGCCGGGGAGGAGGAAGATGTTCACCTGTCCCACTCTTTTGAACCTTAAGAAAGTACTTCTGCGCATGACTTCGTATCTGAAAACAGATGTATATCATTTAAGACCTTCTCAATGAGATATGGAATCACAAAAACAATGTCAAATATTATAAAAACCACATCAATTTATGTATCTGTTTGACATTCGTTCCTCTTAGCATTGTAAAACCTGAACATAAGAAAACAATTTGGGAGAAATAAGTGGCAGAATGCTAAACTAAAACCAACCTCCAATCCTTCAGAAAAAAAAAAAAAAAAAAACCAAGGGAAGAGGCATTCTTCTTAACAAAAGAAGTAAAACCTGGTTTATCCGAGAAAAGAATGACTAAAAGAATTTCAAAAAAGAATTTGCACAAGTTTAAAAGAAAATAAGACAGGGTAAAAAAGTGCCAACTCATTAAGCAAACAAAAACACATATGACAAATAAAATCAGCAAGCGGTTGAGGTTATCTTCATCCAATATACCTGAATAACTGTCTTCGACCCAACAAATGCTTCAATCTTCTTCCAATCGCGGTCAAAGCTGAAAAGAACCAATTGAATTTAAATTATATCAGTTCAAAAACCATTCTTCAGAAAACATATACTTCAATACCCAAAATTGACTTCAAGATACAGGTATTAAGAGTACTTATCTTTGAGAATAGCAATGAAAGTTTCAATCTTAAATAAAACTCTCAAAAAGAGAAAAACAAAAAACAAAAACGCATGCAAAATGATATTTGTAAGGCAGTTATTTTTATTTTCAAAATTACCACTACAATTTCAAAGTATAAAGTGCTCCTTTCACAACGATCACATGATAGATGTAACCAACTTCATCTCAAGGGTAATTTCTGCAATTCAGAACTCTTCAGAAAAGACACTGTGCCTCTAGCCTTGCCGAACAATTCTCATATTTGGCATGTTTCCATGAAAAGAACCAACAAAGGTGTCTAGTCTGTGACTTCTAACATTTAGAAAATTAAAATAATATTACCTTCTATGTTGGTCCACTAAAGTACTAGACATCATTTGTTATATCAGGTTGATTCAGTGTTATTATATTACCCTGGAGTCTGAAAGGGAAGTTAACATAAGAAATTCCTTAAAAATTTCTCCCAAAATGAATAATTTCGAGAAAATTAGGGTAAGCATGCTTCAAAATGCACTCCACATCCCACTTTAGAGTCCTATAAGAAAAATCCTAGCAGCTTATTTGGTTCCTTAGGGAAAGAAGAAAGAGGAAGAAAAACAGACTATTCTTCCTCTCCATTCAGCAAACACTATTTCGAAATGAACCGCAAGTGCACATATATCACATTCAATTCAAATACACGATTACCTGCACAATCTGCATAATCACACAAAAACACCTCAAGACAAACCCTTCTGTTCAACTAATCTCTAACCAAACACAAGTTAACCCCATTCATGACCCTTTTAATGAACCAACCAACCAAATCTCCACCCGCAAAACCCCATTCGATATCCTTAATTCAAGAAAAAACACACATACATCTGTCTATAGCAGAAGAAAAACCCTAACTGAATTATGCAGCAAATCATTAAGGTTAAAGGAAATGGGGAAATTTACAGCTGTAAAGCTTCGAGGAACTTGTCGTGTTCGGGTTCTGTCCAGCTCTCTCTGGACTTGGTAATGGTGTAGGGTTTCCGAATCTTCTTGCTCGGATCCTCCGACGAGGAAACGGTCGATGCCGCCGCTTTCGTGGCCGGAGTGGCAGGAGTCGTGGCGAAGGGTCCGATGCCGGGTAGCGCCATTCCAGTCGGATCCAAGTAGAATCCTTCTGCCGGGTTCGGGTTTTTTGATACCATAAATTGTTGTTGGATTTCTGAAATGGTTTTTGGTGGGTTTTTAGCTTTGGAAATACGAGAGGATGTGGCTTTTAAGAGAGGCGGCAAAAGCTTTTAATAGATGGACTTATTGAGGGAGTAATGATATCCTACGGTGAGTTTTCCCTGGGCATGTCTCTATAATCCAATCATTGCCTGCCACGTGTCAATTTAAAAAAATTTTTATTTAAAAAGAAAAACTTTTTTTTATTCTGTACTTGCAAAATTGATAAAAAATTTCGAATTTTATTTAATGAAAAATATTTATCTCAATCGCAATATTTTTTAGTTCTCAAATTTAAAATATTTTTTAATCAACAAAATTAAATTAGTTTTTAATTCTTATCATAATTTTTTAAATGATTAATAAAAACAATAGTATTACTTAAACTTAAATATAATAACTTAAAGATATTTATATCACAAATAAAGTATATTGTAAGTTAGTTCAATGAATTTATTCGTTCAAATCATTTTGGTGTAGTACAATATATCCTAATATGTACAATTTTATATATTTATATTTTTTATTAATTTATAAGTCTAATTATAATTTTGAAAAAATAATTTTTATTATTTAAATTAATTCATAATATCATAAAAATACGCAAAATATCAGATCGAGGGTATTAAAAACTTGGAACTCCTAAGTTTTTGTTACAATAAAATAATTTAGTTAAAATTATCTTATCTCAATTACTAATATTTGGTTTTTCTTAAATTTTGTTAGAATATTGTAATTATTTATTTAATGCTAAATTAAATTAATATATAAATCTAAGCATATTATTTTGAAATTATTATTTAAATAATTGGGTTTTTACTCAAAAAATATGAAAAAATTATAAAATTTATACGATTAAAATTTTTTGTTAATACATTTCTATAATATTTTGTTAACTATTTTCATAAATTTTTTAAAATTTTGCATAAAAATTATATACTTTAATAATATTTTAAATTTTTTTATCATTTTAAATTATTGTAATTTATTTTATTAAATAATATGTCAATCAACTTTGTTAATACTAAAATGTTAAGAGGATCTAAATATTTAAAATATTTATTAACTATTACAAAATTTAATATGTATAAATAAATTGTTGTATTTTTAAAATTATTAATATTTAAAAAATAAAAATAAAAACTTGCCAATGGTGGACCGCGGAGCACTTGATTAAATCTTTCCCTTTTCTTAAGTTTCTACCAAGACCAACCTTGGAAGACTAAAATAGCCGGTGAACCGGTGCGTTTTATGTCCCTGGAGAGGAAGAGGAGAGACGATACACTGAAATTATTTCTACCACATCAACGGTGAAATGAACCAATACTACGAAAACACGTTGACTAACTGACTGCGCGGCTTACTTAGACTCGACCTCACCGGATAATTTCTCGTCCGAAGCGATAGGCATTTCCCTTAATTAGACGACACGTGGCAACCATCGGAGAGAAGATATGGCATGAGGTTTTGGTGCATTTTCAGGGAGCTTAAGTGGCCAATGGTGAGTCCCCCATGATGGGCAAAGCAGGTAGCAAGAAGATATTTAAAGATGGGCCCCACCATACCATTTTTACATGTACGTATTTTTAGCGCCCACCAAACGTTGCTTTTTCTCCTCCAGATATTTTCTCGCCTTTTTAGTCTTCCATACATTTCGCTCACACCGAATCCTCTTTCTTGGAATTTGACTTTCTTTGTTGATTGATAGTGTTTGGGTTCGTTCGGGCAGTTTTTTTTTTACTATATTAATATTGACTTTTCAATTAATATTTGATGTTATAATTCATGTACGAACTAAAATAAATAAAAAAGGGTAATTAAAAGTTGAAGAAGACATAATATTATATATGTAAAGTATATATGTGTATGTATATAATTCTGTCCAAGGTATGATGGAAGGATTATTGACGTGCAAGATCCTTAGGATTGGAATGACAAAGGTAAAAGTTGGGCTTGTTTGGTGAGTATTGTAGAAGAGATTTTGTGGTCAACAAACAGATCTCCGCGTAGCTGGCCGATATACATACATATTGTAACGACTTTCGAAAATATTCAAAGAAAACAGATAATAATTTAAGTGCGAAAGTAAAATAAAATGATTAATATTTATATTTTTTGCACAATAACTTAAGAGTACTAAACAGTATTACGAAATTTATTTTTTTTAAAAAAATACAAGAAATAAGAAAATAAGTTAAAAACAAATAAAACTAGCATCTACTCGTAATTCTCTTGCGGATCAGACTCTAAAACCTGATTCTTTTGATCTGAAATTGTTAAATAAAAAATGAGCTACGTATAGCAAAACGACATAAATGGGATGCAATTACTTTATATTTTTATATAATATGTTTGTGGGTTTGAATCGAACAATATATTTTTTATTTTTATAAATTATTTATATTATAATAAAATTTGTAGGTACTTATAATTTAATTAATGAATATAAAAATTTATTCAAAAAAATTATTATATTTATATTATATTATTATAATTTAAAAAAACCCATTTTTTATTTATCATTAAAATTTAAATTTGACACCAAACTTATCGAATATTTACAATTTAGAATCAAAGGGAAGTACTAAAGTTTCTCTTAAAATTTTCCATGTTTAAAAAAAAATACTGAATTTTGTAAAATTACATAATAATTATGTCATAATTAGGGCATGCCCTAAGTTAATAATTTTTAAAAATGAATTTTTATTTAAATATCATTAAAAATAATTTCTTGTAATTATTAAAATATATTGTTAGCAAAATTTTACAATATAAAATATATGTGTAAATAATTTACTTGTGAGCCATGGAGGCCCAATTTATTTATTCCTATTTCTATTTGCCCTGTGGATACTTTGAAGTTGCCCAAATCCTCCTCACACTTGAACCATAGAAATTTGGGTTATGGTATTGGTTACTAAAAATTCAAACTTTATTTTTTA